CCGCAGATGGTAATATCGTCGAGATAAGCGTATGTTTCCTGCAGCTTAAAGAAGGCAAGTCGCGTGGCGCTGGCAATGCTAAAAGAGGCCTAAGCCGATCGCCGTCGGGTTTTATGATGTGGTTTGATATGTTGTAGCCAAGGAGATTAATGGCGTCCTGTGCAAATTTGCATTTATCACGGCTGAGAGTAAGACCGTATTTCTTAGCGGCGTTCATGAATCGGTCTAGGTTCTGAGCGTGATTTTCTCGAGTTTGCCCGCAGATGGTAATATCGTCGAGATAAGCGTATGTGTCCTGCAGCTTTTCTCTTCGTATAATCCAATCGATAGTCCGCTGAAAACATGACACCCCATTAGAGACACCAAAGGGGATACGTCGAAATTGGTATAAATTTCCAAGTGCTTCAAACGCCGTAAATTTCTTTTCTTCAGGTAAGATGGGTACTTGATGATAGGCGCTTTTTAAATCTATTAGACTAAAAGACTTATTTTTGGCGACTTTTGATACTAAGTCCTCTATGCGTGGAAGAGGGTAAGCGTCCAGCTGAGTATAGCGATTGATTGTTTGGGAATAGTCAATAACTAGTCGCTTTTTGTGAGTTTCGCTTCTAGTTATAAGGACCTGTGCTCTCCAAGGAGATTTGCTCCCCTCTATTACACCTTCCGTTAATAATTTCTAGATTTCAGCCTTGATAAACTTGCTATCCTCGTCGTTATATCTACGTGATTTAATAGCGACAGGTTTGCAATCCGGAGAGATAATGGGGAAAAGTGACATAGGCGGTACCGATGCCTCTGCTACGTTACACACATGCAGAGTGTGTTTAGAACCGCCAAATGAAAATTCTAATGATGAATGCTCTTGAAGTACATCGTGACCAATAATTAAATCGGAGCAAAGATTTTTGACTATAAGAAGATTCACATTATCGTACTTATGATCTCCCAAGGTAATGGACTGTGAAGTTTGGCCTTCGACTTTAGAGGTGTGACTCAACGAGGCCATGGAGAATGTGGCGTTGCAGAAGTCTTTTTTGAATCCGCACTTGTTGGCGAATTTTAGCTGCTAATGAAGCAGCTGTAATACACGCTGTTGAATTTCGCCTGCTTGCGACCTGAGGGACGACAGACTTGGCGCTTTTACAAACAGTGGCGAGGTGTCCCTTTTTGTTACACAGTTGACATGTTTCTTCACGAGCCGGACAATTTTTGCGAAGGTGTAGTTGACCACCACAAAACAAACATTTTCGTCGATTGTAGTGAGCCGCAGCGACATGATCCCCGTTGAGTACGTTTTGTTGAGGTTGGTGGTGGTCCTTAGTTTGTTCGTTTGTGACTGCGTTCACGGCTATGGAGTTGAAACTTAAGGAGTTGACTTCAGCTGTTTCCAGAGATAGAGCTTGGTTGTAAGCTTGATCGAGGGTCAGCGTTAAGTTTTCAAGGAGTCTTTGCCTTGTTGAGCTTGAGGAAATTCCTGATATAAACGAGTCTCGTACGCAGTCGCTTCTATTTGTATCAGCATCAACGGCTGCGAACTCGCAGTCTTTCGACAATTGCTTTAATGCATGCAGGTAAGTCTCAATATTATCGTCAGTGCGTTGCCTTCTCGTAGCGAGTGCATGTCTTGCAAATAGCACGTTTTTTGGCTTAACGTAGAGCTTGTCCATCAAATCAATTGCTTCCCTGAAGCTTCGTGCTTCACTGAAGTAAACGTATACGTTCGGGGAGACGTGGTTTATCAGGAGTCGATGCTTTGCCTCGTCCCAAGATGCTTGAGTTACCCCGTCCATTTCGACCGGCTCCTGAGCATCGATGAAACTTTCGAATCTTTTCTGCCAATGCTCCCAAGCCCGAGTAGCGGAGTTATCCGATGGTTCGATGTCGAAACTTTCGGGACGCAAGTATTTATCCATACTTCTTCAATAATCTGGGGTTAAACATCGTTATCGACGTCTTCGGCTCCATGCATATAACAGGGAGTCGGTAACGTCGATAACTATGTTTAACCGGGGATTAGTGTTAACCAGACATTGAGTAACCGGCCCTAAGGGCCGGTTGTTAAATGTCTGGTTATCACTTTATGCCGGTTTGGAGATAGAAGCTCTACTACTGCTTTATCGATCACATGTTACATGCATGATGTCGAAATCGTCGATGGTGTAGTGGTAGTGATAACCAGACATTGAACAACCGGCCCTAAGAGTATCGGAAATTTGTTACGATTCTTTTAGGAACCTTTAAAGCGGTTGACAAGAACTAGTAAAGAAATTTGTGTACGATTTCTTAAAGGAAATTCTTAAGACAATTGTGAAACCGTTGCGAATACTCTGAAATCCTGGTATGCAGGGTATACATATACATAGACTGCTTTTACACAGTTCAAGTATTGAATTCAATTCTGCTCGCATGTGGAAGAGAGGGGGTGAGAAGAAAACGGGAGGAGTACACATGCGTCTGTACCGTCAAGTCGTTTCAACTTTCTTGCTTTGCTTTTGGCATTTTCGTTGCTTCCCATTTAAAGAACCAAAAACTTGAATTCAACAGAATTGAAACGTGTAAAATCAAATAGAAAACACAAAAGAGAATGAGCAAGAATTGCTTTCAAGTACTTGAATCATGTAAATCGGGTGATACGAATATGAATAGATAAAGAAGCTGTGGATGACACACGGAGTTCATGCCAAATGTTGTTTTTGTACGATTGCTACAACCTGTAGTTATTGGCGCGTATTCATAGTCCAGCAACTAAGTCGAAACTAACAAAGTTGCAACTTAAATTTAAGTACCAACTTAAAATTTACCTCTATTCATAGTCGCATTTCAGACTTCTACTAAGTAGTTTCGACTTAGTTTACGATATAGCAAAATGAGTGTGAAAATGTATCGATTTTTCTTTACGATATTTTGGAAAAATTACATTTTTATTAAATAATGTCAAGTTTGATCATCCGTTTATGTAATTTTTATTTTCATTGCATAATTATGCAAAAGAATAAGGTATCGTTTTCTTGTTAATTGTGTGAAATAGCCAGAACAACCGCAGTGATGTGAAGTCGATGTTTATCGAAAGCACGGTGTGAAACATACAAATAGTATATATCTAAATGTTATTTGAGAATTTATCTAAATTATTCCAATTATAAACTGGTGATTTAGCGTTATTCGAATTGTAATACGCATTTAATTTATTCTTCCGAATAAAATGGATCGATCTTTGCAAATTTTAATTGGAGATTATTCAATTTTATCAAAATCACCCTCTACCAACTTAATTTTTACATATTTCGTCTGTTTTCCCTTAATTTGATAAAATACTTCTTCCTAGTTACGACTTAGTTGCAGCTGCAGCCGAAACTAAATTTTAAGTTGGTTCTTAGCCAGAAAAGTCGAAACTAAGGCGACAATGAATAGCTTTAGGGCCGGTTGTTCAATGTCTGATTAGCACAAATCGGAGGTAGAAGCTCCGGTTAAGCACAACACTGCTTTATCGATCACATGTTACATGCATGATGTCGAAATCGTCGATAGTGTAGTGGTAGTGATAACCAGACATTGAACAACCGGCCCTTAGAATAGTTTCGACTTAGTTGAGTACTAAATATGACTATTGGGGTGTTCACAGTTCGTTCCAAATAGTGTCTCAAAATGTAGACGTCTACATTTTAAGACGTTTTCTAACCGTAAAATATGTGGTGTTGTTGTTTCCCATACAAAATTGGAAAACGACACCGTCTACATTTTGTCACACTCAAAGGTATGTTTTTTACGCGTCTACATTTTGCAACCTCTCAGCAGGGTTGCATTATGGCAATACTAATCACATTTTTTTTTATTTATTGGGCACGTTTTCCGTATTTGCATTTAATTTGAGCGCAATTTCTGATGAAAAGAAACAAATCAAGGAAAAGGAATAACAAATATTACGAATTGGTAATTAAGTTAAATAATTACAATTTTTCAGTAACAAAATCGAAAGGCGACATATAAACAATGCACGCAAACAAGAAATGTCTGGCAACACCAGCAAAGTTTTGAGACGATTTTGAGACGACTGCTAGAAAGGGGTGCTCACAGTTTGATGCTAAAAATGTCTCAAAATGTAGACGTCTACCTTTTCAGACACAATTTGGAACGAACTGTGAACACCCCATATGAATACGCGCCATTGATTCATGTTTGCTATCGATTTTTGGAAAGAAATTGGGTCGTGTATGTGGCCCATTAATAAGAGCATTTTATATCGATGCATATGTATTCGATAACTTTTGTAAAGTACTTTCTTTCTTTTGCAACCACACTTCCGGTAAGTTGGAAATACATAGATGTGCTGGTGGAAATAGCTTATTAAGCAAAAATATCAAGGTTCGTTTTATATACTACGAAATTGGTTTTCCTGTTCCGAGTTCTGGATAAAGTATATTTGTTAGGTTGGAGACAATATACTGTAGACCGAAGCAAGGCATTTCAAACAGGTAGTAGCATTAGAGCAAAAACCATGACGGAATAATACCACCACGAGCAAAAACGATATTTGTGTGTTTTGTTGTTGCTGGTTGTATGGAAGGTGTCAATAATTTCAGATTTTTTTCTTCTAAATCAAAACTGAAATTACCCTTATTATTTATTTATTTATTTCTGCATTTACAGGTCTATTCTGCAGGTTATTGCAGATTTTGTAACTGGAAAAATGTATACCAAGAAATGTTCTTATCGCGATTCTTGGTAGGTCGGTTATGCAGTTAAAATATTTAGCTATGAAGTGTGGAAATTTTGCATTGCGTATTTCATGGGGCAATCAGGCATGGTCCACAAATCGCACCGATTTCAAATCTGCGGTTTGACAAAGATAAAAATTTGGCACTAAATCGATAGGGCTAATATTATTAACCATTTAAAAGCTATACACAAACAACTTGTTAAATTTCGTTGTTTTCTATGAGCAAATCACGTCATAAATGCACGAAATCACCAGTTTCCACTTTTAAAACGTCTCCGGTTATTGTTTTGTGCAAACAAAATCATTTATTCACTTTTATTTTATATATTTCGTCAATAAAACGGAGTAAACAAAGGCTGACTTCCAAAACGTATCACATGGTTTGGAAACTGTTATACTGTGGTATTCAAGCTGTTTGTATATGCAGAGTTGCGACACATTGCAACCATATACATTGCATACTTTAAATATTCAATATAGCAATGAACAATTTTTCTGAATTTTCCCTATTTAAAACACCAATGCTAACCAATAACAAACGAAGCATCAACTTTGATGATGATGCGCTGATTGCTCAAGCGATCCGTTTCAATAACTTATCGGCTGCGATTTGGAACAGTATACATTGTCAATATTTTGTAGTTCGACGTTATGGAACCTTATACTTTGTACGTATACAAAGCAATTGACGTTTTGGAAGTCAGCCAAACTTTGCGCCTGCCAAAATTATTATAACCTCGAATCGCTGGTATTGTCACTTTATTTCACATTTCGTTTGCGCTATTACCCTCGGTTTACACTATACATTTGTTCCTCTTATTTTTACTTTTATTTATTTATTTGTTTATTTATTACAGTCATTAGACCTATATACATTCATGTACATACCCTGCAAAAATCATTGGACCATGTAGTCTATTTGTGGTATATTGGAGTACTTACAAAAGTGCTCCTCTGTCATGCTGTAGCGGACCAACTCGTGTCTCTGCACCAGCTTATTGTTACCCGATCACTGCTCGTGTTTTAACGAAATGTTAAGCATTTGAAAGTACATTTGCATGTCTGGCTGTAGCTGAACATGTAGAGATGCTAGCTGTTAGTTCTTAGCTCCCAGCATGTTCGGGTTCGAATGCCGTCAGAGGCAACATGTAATTTTTAATTTTTGTTTTTGGTTTTTATTAATTTCAAAAAAAAAGCATCTGTGAAGTGAAGAACAAAAGCATGTACAAACGAAAAAATATAACGACAATGTCATTGGAGTATGTTGGGAGTAGTTTTGTGCTACTCTGATGTAATGCAGAGATGGAGTATATGGTCCTGCCCTAGGACATCGCGATGTTAATTGGACCATATTTTTTATATGAATTGTGGTTAATTTTGGAGTACTCCTTGGTCCTTCGGGAGTACTCTTCACATGCATGCATGGAGTAGTCGCGATTTTTGCAGGGTATATACATTTGAATTATGTGTTGCAATATATAATAAAAGTAAAGTTAAATTTAATGCTTAAAATAAGTTAATGCAGCGTTTTTGCTGCATTTAAAATGCAACATTTAGCACTTTCGAACATATGTTTCGAAGAGCGTTCGCGAGTTCGAAATCGTATGGTTTTTTTTTTTTAAGACGGGTAGTAAAGTAACTGAATGTTCAAAAAATCCTACTGAAAAGGCAAAGATAAATTTTAAAACAAAAATTCAATACAAAAACTTTAATTGTTTTAACGATAACCGAACATTTGTTTTAGGGCTGTGCGATTATTCGATTACTCGAGCAAGTTGGTTAATCAATTATTCGGTTAATCAATTACTCGAGTAATCAAGATTTTGATTACTCAAAACGATGATTAATCGAGTTACTTGAAATATGATTACTCAAAAAAAATAATTTTGCTCGTTAACAGAGTTTGCTTTGGAAAATGCTTATTTTCTTTTTTACATTCTGTATATGAAAAAAATTGTTTGCTTTCATTTTTGAAAACAGAAACGTTGTTTTCAAAGTATCAAGGAACTTTAACTACTTTATACATATGTAAAGAGTTGAAATGTTGATTACTCATTTTACTCGAAATGTTGATTAATCATAAAGCAAATTACTCAAATATTTTTGTTTTTGGTTAATCAAAAATCTTGATTACTCGAGTAACTGAACTTTTGAGTAATCATAATTTCCAATTAATCGAATAATTGAGTTATTTAATTTATGATTAATTAAAATTTTGAGTAATCAATTAATCGCACAGCCCTAATTTGTTTGTGTATATATTCATTTGTCGGTGCTGTCAATTAAAATTTCCTCACTTAATTAGGAAAAAAACAAGCAGGGTTTATCACAAATTGATCCAGATTTCTATCAGCATCACATCGATGTTGAATTTGCGTAACTTTATTTTATCCTAATAATGGAAAATAAAAAAAATTAAATCTCGATCGGCGATCATTGAAACGTAGCTAGCCACTGTATACGCGAAAAAAACAATGTTGCCACTTTTTCTCATTAAACCATGTTCGAATCGTGGAAATTTTGGAAGATCACAGGGTTGCTTTTAGCATTTAGATTCTTAATGCAAAGCTGGAGTTGCATTTAGTTGCATTTAGATGACGAATTTTGTATGGATAAATGTACATTTAGGGTAGCATTTACAGTTAAATGCGCTAAATGTGCATATACGCGTAAGCAAAAACAGCCCATAACCTGTTACACTTTTCCTTTTAAGCTATATAATAGTATGTATATTTAACTAAGATAGCATATTCTCGATGTTGTTGGAATGGACGGGACTCCAAGCAGTACCGTAAATATATCACTCACGATATGCGGTCTAAGAGCCGCCACAACTGAGCGGTTGGAAAGGACTAGTTTCCAAGCCGCTCCTTATAAACTTCTCTACCGCGGCAGGCGATCTGAATGGACGAAACCCAGAGTCGCGCTATTTGATCGGACGGAAAGGACTAGTTTCCATGCCGACCTTATTTCATACATTATGGGTGATCTGAATGGACTATATCCAGAGTCATCCAGCTAGTACTAATGGAAATGACTAGTTTCCTTGCCGGACCTTTCTATCTGATAGCCAATGTTGTACAGTGATCAAGTAGCAGCCTTTGAAGGAACCAACGTTTTCACAAATTTGTATTTGAGCTGGAAGTTCATTATAACATTTTAATCCCTTATAAAAGATATTCTTCTTATCTATTTCCGTTTTATACAGCGGCAGCCTGAAGCTATTATTTCCCCGGAGTAAATACGAATGGGTTTCACTATTATATCGTAGGATATCACTTAAGGTAATCTGGGAGTCTACCTTGTTTTATGTTAAACACGAATTTCATAGCGTGATAGAAAATTCTCAGCCAGTTTAATTCTGCGATCATTTCCTGTATGGGTGTGTCGTACCGCTTGTTCAAGATAAATCGCATAGCCCTATTTTGCATTTTTTGAAGCTTATCTATTTGTGTGTCGCTTGCTATAAAAAAGATTGTTGGACAGTATATGAAATGTGGTTCAACTATAGATCTCTACACCAAAGTCTTATACCTCCTTCCTACGTTCCCACGACAGTCGGGTCTACGTAACCGGAACGACCCAGATTTATATCTGGCCAAGGACTGTCACTCCAGCAACACTCCCCAAAAAGTCTTTGGGGAATTTGTATGCTGCTACAACAACAACAACAACCTCCTTCCTAAGTACTTACATGATCTTTTCATGAGACCAATTTTTTTAACAATTTTTGCTACTGTGTAGTCAATATGTTCCTCAAATTTTAACTTATCGATATATATACCTAGATATTTAATGATTCTCACTTTCTCAATTACTTCATCTTTAATTTGTAAACTGTAATTGTCGGAGCTAACGTTAGCTGCTCTATATATGACCATAAACTTTGTCTTGTTCACATTTAATTGAAGTCTGTTCGATGTTATCTATACCAATATATTCGAGTTTTTTTAGCATTATTTCCCTGTCGATTGTCTCGAAGGCTCTCTTAAGGTCCACAAACACCGCCAAGATAGTTTTCTTGGAGTTCAGGTCCTCCTTCCATTGTGATAAGATCAAGTTTAGAGCTGTTTCGCATGAGTGATTAGCCCTAAAACCTGAATGCTCCTTAATGAGTATTTTATTTGACTCAATATAGTTTAATAGTTGATTTTTTACAACCGTTTCCAGTATTTTTTCCAAGTTGGGAAGGGTGTTTATTGGACTGAGCTCCTCCGATTTAATGGTGTTTTTGACCTTTTTTATTATTATTATTATTATTATTATTATTATGTATTTATTACGGCCACGAGAGCCTAATTCAAGTATCATTAACAATTTGCTATCTTAAAGCTAGGGTTTTACAATATTCATACAGTTTTTTCTTAAAAACTAAGATTTCATTACAGGTTTTTAAATCCATAGGGAGTTCATTGAAACATTTTAGACCTTTATAGAAAATGTTTTGTTTATCTATTTCCGTTCTAAACAATGGCAGTTTAAAATTTTGTTTATTCCTTGTATTTACATTGTGTGTTTGCTCTACTAATAATACATTTTTACTAAGGTATTCAGGTACATTACCACGCTTTATATTATAAATTAACTTCATGGAGTGAAAGAAAATTTTTTGCTTAACACTTAGCCAGTTTAAACTGTTCAGCATATCAGCCGTTCTGGCATCACTACGTTTTTTAAGTATAAATCGCATACACCGGTTTTGAAGCTTTTGAAGCTTATCTATTTCACTATCTGATATTATGAATAATATCGATGGACAATATACAAAATGTGGCTCAATAATAGATTTATATATAAGTATTTTATATTTTTTATGTAGATATTTGGATGTTCTCTGCATAATCCCAATTTTTTTAGCTACTTTCGCAACGGTGTATTTTATGTGTTCCTCAAATTTAAGTTTATTATCAATTATAATACCTAAATATTTGATACTATCTACTCTTTGTATGCTTTCATTATTTATTTTCAATTCAACGTTGAGATCATTAAAGTTTCTTCTGGTTATAATCATATATTTTGTTTTGTTAATATTAAGTTTGAGTCTATTTCCGCACAGCCATGTATATAAATTATTTAGTGCCATTTGCATTTTCGATATAGCGACATTAATATTATTTTCACTTATCATAATTAATGCATCGTCGGCGAAGAGTCGAATTTCACATCCCTCGACGGCATTGACAATATCATTA